CGCCGTCAGATCGATGTTGACGCGAAGTCGTTTAAGCAAAGTTCAATTTGCCTCTTGCCGTGACGTTATCCGTCGAATCGGAAAGCATGAAAAGGAATCGTTTACTACATTGACATCAGTTTTATCTCCTATCACTAAAATAAGCAGTAAAATATTATTAAAATATTAGTATTAATCAATGGTCGATAATCCCTCGCTCTAAACGATACGCCATTTTTAGTGTTAAGGGAACTTCTGTCATGCTGCAGCCAGAAAATTCAAGGTGAGGCGATGTTCGCAGTCGGTTGCTTAACGGTCAGAGATCGCATTTAGCTCGTCTCCAGTGAGCTCAACGAAGGACGCAAAACTGTGCGAGGACATCGCAAAGATGCTCTGGAACGCAGGCCGTTCGTCAGCAGACCTCGAAGCGGTCAAATTCTACTTATTAAACGTAGACTATTTTCACTCAGGAGTCTTGAGCGAGCAACAAATCATCAGAGCACTTCAACACTTTCGGCTGATCGCCCCCTTCGAACAACTGCTGCCCAAACTGCTAGCCCGCTGCCAGTTGCAAGGTGATTTGCGATACAAGTGAGTGACGAAAACAATATCATGAATTACAGTATTGCGACCCAACGATTGTCATCCCGCAGTCAAATAGTGATGATGCAATGCACTAGAATATATAGAATTATGGCCTAGGGTTTCTGAGGATTATTTCGCAGGAAGTGATTCATTGTTTTAAAAATATCTGATTTCATCGATTCATCACCGCTGAGTACTTCTGATCACCTAATTTATAACTTTTCAATTGTTTCCCTTATAATGAAGCGATTTCACCAAAATTTCGCTGACTGTTAATAGTTATCATGTCCCCACCCGCAGCCATTGTTTTAAAGATCATATTCCAACGTATTTATTGCAGGTGCGTTTTTTTGAAAAGCGTAGACGATCTCTTCAATCAACTGGTACTCTGGACTAGTAGTTGACCGTATCAGAGTTCAGGATATTTATTTATGGCTAAGATTGATTACCACCTCGTCACTGCTTCTTCGCAGCGTTCGATTTTTGCTTTTATTGTTTCCATTTTTCGTGACGAAAACTCCGTTTCTTGCCTAGTAAACATCCATAATATAGTATTAAACTGATGTGCAGAAGAAATCAACATTGAATTCTGAAGAAATGAAGATTTTAGGTGCTCTTTTGAATCTAGTCAGATATCTCTGAGAGAAGAATGTCATTATTACAAACCGGGACCTAAAGACCAAAGGTCGGAAAGGCAAAAGTTTTGCTGATGCTGAAATATGTTCTGTTCAGTAAAATGCAGAGATTTGATGTATGCGTCAGCGCTTCAGGCGTTTACACACCATGGAGGTGTACGTGACTTGCTTAAATGGTCCTTTAGATAACTAGATGCAAGAGGGTGGTTTAACGTTGCAGTTGACCCTGTGTTAAGAATGCCATTCGTTGTCTACTGCTTCAGAACCTCAGTAAAGCAAAACTTTACAATTTTCGTCGTGCACATCATGTTGCAGTGCTTGAAAGATGAAGGTCAAGTTAATAAATTCTTAAATTAATTTCATCTTCATCTTCATCTTCATCTTCCATCGCCGCTTCTCCTTTCGGGTCGCGGAGGCAGACGCGTC